GAATTAAATAAGATAATGATGCCTGGTGCTTATCATAGCACCTGGCAAACCCTCCGTCAGCGTTCTCTCTTAGAGACCACGACTGTCCACGTGATCACCTCGAGATGTTGCAGCTGAGGCTGCCTGATCGCTTATGGGAGGAGCCAGATTTCTCCACCGGTCGATGGTTAGGATGTGTTGTGCCAACACCAGCAACCTGGAAGTTCAAAGGTGATGGGAGAAAGGGGTTCTGCAGGCAAATGAACTTGACAAAAGCTGCAGCAATGGAAGGACCATCTACTTGGAGGCAAGAGAGTGGACACATGTTAGAAAACACTGCATTAGAAGACTTCTGATGTTCTTGACTCTGACACCTGGAAAAGTTGTGCATTTTAAAGGCGGTGACGTTTACAGCTACTGTTTATGGAGGGCTTACCATGAGACACAGAGAGGTTAAGCAACTCGTCCAAGCTCACACAGCGAACACATGGTGGAACCAGGACCATAACCTGCTCCTTCAAAACCCTGCTCTTAACTACCAGGCCACACTTCCGCACGGACTGCTGATCGTCCGTGTGTGGTCGGGTTGACTTAGTATGATGATGAGTATTGAGGGGGAAACAAACATGGGGTCGGCATTATAGTGAACGGAAAGAGCACCGACCAGGACCCAGGAGGCTTGGGAGTGGAAGCCTTGTCTTGCGAATTGAGAGCTCAGGCCCTTTCCACTGACCAGTCGCCGAGCCAGGCCGGCATGCCGGGATGCTGTGCGGCATCAGGAGCGCTCGCTGGGACGGCCAGGTCAGGGAGGCGGAGGTCATTTTGAGTTAAGTGGCCACAAGTCCTTCTTTCATTGCTCAATGTCCATGACCTGCTCTGATGCAGAGGAGGCCCTAGTTTGGGGTAAAACGCCGCATGTGCCCTCTGCCTCCATCTTCCTGAGATGAGCTAACAGGGGAGCAGAAGGCCTCTGCCCGCCCCCCCACCCCCGCCTCGCCTGACCACTTGATTGCCTGATAACTACATGCTACCGACAGTGGTGCACAAAAGTGGGCTGGGCAGGGGGTTAGGGTGGTAGTCACAACCCAGGCATAGAACTTACTTTTGCCTTCAGCTAGCCTGTCCACTGTTTCTGTGCATCTAGTTCAGTGGTTCTCAACCTTGGCTGCACATTAGAATCACCTGGGAATCTTTTTAAAATCCCGATTTCTGGGCCTCATCCTCCGGAAATTCTGTTTCTTTGTTATGGGGTGGGGCCACAACATGAGTAACAAAGAAACAAAATTTCCAGAGGACGAGGCCCAGACAACAGGATTTTAAAAAGATTCCCAGGTGATTCTCATGTGCAGCCAAGGTTGAGAGCCACTGATCTAGCTTAGCACGTTGAGCCCCATGTCAGTCACTGGTGACTGACCCTACACTTTCCGTCCGGAAGACAGAACAGGCTGGGCGCTTACCGTGTTAACACACCTTGGAAATCAGCATAACCCCCTTAAGAGGACACGTGAACCCTCTGCAATTCAGTCTCCGCCTTGCTTTCTCCCACATGCACGCAATCCTCCTTAAATCCCTCCGCAAGTCCCAGTGCATTAAAGGAACTGCCAAACTGTCATTCTCCAGAGACTCCGAGACCTTGCTTCCCGGCAGCTGCCGTCAGCGGGGCTCAGGGACGCTCTAATAAAAAGCGTCTGGACGTTTCTTACGTCAACACAGCAGAGAGCACAGGGTACCTTCCCTCGGCGACCATGGAAACAGGAACAAACACGTCCAGGTTGGAGCTGAGGCTCCGGGAGACGGGCTTCCAGCCCAGCCCTGCACGTGGAGGTGATGGTGCGCATTCGCTGAACGGGTCACCCCTGCGTGTGGCCAGGCTCCGGCGATCAAAACCCCGGTCCTTTCGCTCCCGGCTCCTGCAGGGAGCACGCAGGGCCTGGCCTCCACCAGGCAGGGCCCTGGGCCTCGCACCCTCGCTTCTCCCGCACCGCTGGCTGGAGACCCCACAGGAACTCGGCTGCAGGAGGACCCGTGAGCCTGGGCGAGGCCCGCAGGGTGGCTCCCGGCGGGATCTGCTGCCCTCGTGTGGCCATCCTGACTCAGAGCTCACAGGAGGAGAAACTCCAGCAAATGGAGACCCTTGGAAAGGCCCAAGTGGTTAAGGACAGCAGAACTGAAACCCACCGGACCAAAGCAGCAGCCTTCCTGGGGGCCGCCTCCAGCCCTTTGGTCTCAGGACTCCTTTCCACTCCTAAAAATCATTGAGGCCCCAGCAGGTGTGGCTCAGTGGATAGAGCAAATCCCTGGCCTTCATTGGGGAACGGGCGGGAGTCAACCAATCGATGTGTCTCTCTCACATCGATGTTTCTCTCTCTGTGTCTCTCCCCCACCCTTCCACTCTCTCTAAAAAAATCAATGGAAAAGCATCCTCAGGCGAGGATTACCGAACAAAATAAAATTATTGAGGACCCCAAAGACTTCTGTTACGTGGACTGTCGTACATTTTTCCCCACCTGGCTCCCTGGTGTGAATGAAGGCCCCCTCCATTCCGCAGCGAGGCCTGCTGGGGTCCAGAAAGGGCGGGGTCCCCTCAGGTGCTCAGGTGCCGAGTCCTCGGGCACAGGTGTCTCTGGCCAGCCCAGTCCCCTTGGGTCTGACTTGTGCTTCTGGAAACGAAAAATTCTTTCAGGGAGTCGACTCCCAGGCCCTGGAGACTGAGTCTCTTCACGTCTGCATCTCCTCACGGCCTGGAACACACACTTATCTGTAAGTTCCCCGATGTAAATCCACCCATTTCCTCCTGAATCCAGAGCAGACTGTGCCCCAGAGTCTGTGGTGACAACGGAGCCCCCTCTGCCTGTGCCAGCCCCTCCAAACCCTCAGTCACAGGGCCCAGACCTCATGTGGGAAACAAAAGTGGGTCCCTTCTAAATCCAATACGTAAAAATAAGTCTCAGGTAGATTTAAAATCTCAATGTGAAAATTAAATTTTAGAAAGCATCGAGGGTCGGGGAGATCACTTAAAGAAGACCCAAAGGCACAGCGTACAGGGGAAGGGCTGACACATTGAACAACACTAACGTTTAAAAACCGCTGTGGCATCGTAAGATCCTTAAGGGAGGTGCAGAGAAACCACAGCCGGGAAGAATATCCGAACGGATCTAATTGACCAGAGATTAGCGTTGCTCCTGAGTATATATCTTAATAGGCCTAAATATCTGTACTAATAAAAGGGTAATATGCTAATTACACCGGGTCGTCTGGACATCTTCCGGTCGTCCAGTCCTCCTTCCGGACAAAGCCATGGTGGCGGGGGCCGAGGTAGAGGCGGTTAGGGACGATCAGGCTGGGAGGGGAGGGCAGTTAGGGGTGATCAGGCAAGCAGGCAGGTGAGCAGTTAGGAGCCAGCGGTCCCGGATTGCGAGAGGGATGTCTGACTGCCAGTTTAGGCCTGATCCCGACCTAAACTGGTAGTCGGACATCCCCCGAGGGGTCCCAGGTTGGAGAGGGTGCAGGCAGGGCTGAGGGACTGCCCCCCCAACCCTGTGCACGAATTTTGTGCACTGGGCCTCTATTCCGTAAATAAAAGGCAAACTGTCCAAATGAAAAAATGGGCAGGAGATAGGAACAAATAACCAACAAGGCAACATGCACAGCCAAGACATGTAAAAGGAGGCTTAACCTCATCGCAAACTAAAACCCACACCTTGACCTGGCCACACAATGGTTCTTAGCCTTTGGCCTTTTCACATTTACTTGCTTGTTCCATCCCAACACTTCACCATAACCCTTCATTACGGGAGCACCCATCCCTCCCTCCCTCCCGGTCCAGCTGCTTCGGAAGGGCCCTACCTTCTGCTCTACCCCCGAGGGCACCCTGTCAGGCCTTTCAAAGGACCTCTTGAAGCCTAACAAACCCAAACTCTTGTCAGATCTCCTCTTCGGAAGCCCCTCTCGGACAAACACGGCCACTTCGAGTGAGCTTCCCCCGTGTTCTTCCCCTTTCATCTCCTGGGAGTTGTCACCGTCGGGGACCAGCCCCACCTGCTGAAAGTCCCCTCCACTCCGATGCCACCGCCTGCGTCTGATGCGAGATAATCACAGCCCCTCACGGGCCAGGAACACCACGGGCCAACCCACCTCTGGCTTCCCACCTCTGCTCTTCCAAGCACAGCCCAGGGGAAAGAAGGCTCCGTCAGACACCAAAACACAGAACCCCGGTTCCTCTCATGACGAACAGCAGCTCTCCGCACGCCACTGTTTCTGGGACAAGGACACGGAGCCCGTCTGCAGCACACACGGCGCCTGCGTTTCCACAGGGCCTGACGGCCGCGGGCCCAGGGCCTGCTCCGTGCGGCTTCGAGGTCCTCCCAACCGCGAATCCTTTAGAGGAGAGCCGCCCCCCCCCACACCCCCACCCGTGCCGAGGCGGCCGGAGAGGAAAGGGGGCGCGTTTCCGAGCACGGCTCTGACCTCGCCCCGCTGCGCGCCGCTACCCTTTGAGGACACTCGCTCTGTTTCGGCAACTGCCTTGCAGGGTTTCTGGCGACAGGCACGGTTGAAGCCAGCACAAGGCCGTGCTTAGCACTGGAGCTGGCACAGCTCCGAGCTGCCAGCCACCGGGCCTCACAGCTCTCACACACCTTTGCTTAGGGAACTTTCTACTTAGAGAAACGATTGCAGAGATGGGGATGGGGAAGTGGGGGGCGTAAGCCTCTCTCTTTTTAATATGTTTTTATTGATTTCAGAGAAAGGAAGGGAGAGGGAGATAGAAACATCAACGAACGATGAGAAACATCGGCTGCCTCCTGCACGCCTCCTACTGGGGAATAAGCCAGAAACCTGGGCATGTGCCCTGAGGAACGGAACCGTGACCTGGTTCACAGGGACGCTCAACCACTGAGCCACTGGCCGGGCCCAATCTCTCCTTCGTAACTGGGTGAGTCTCCTTCCTGTATCCCAGGAGAGGCTGTGCGATGCAGGGATGAGGCCAACACTGACCAACAGACCAAACTGCAACACTCCCACAGGATTCATCTTTTATTGATATTAATATGAAGCCACTTCCCAGGGGAACTGCTGTAACACGATTAGGACTTGGTTTCTAAAGGTAATAACATACTGACGTCCTAGACAAAGCACTGGCCACATTCCTCGCAGACAAAGTGGGCTTTTCTCCGGCCAGTGACCGGGTGCCTGGTGCCGCCCTGCCCTGCGCGGGAGCCGGGCCTGCTGTGCGCGCACTTTCCTTCGTCCTTCCTCTCGCCGCGGACATCCCGGCTCCTGCTCCTCTGGGTGGGCTTGTTTCCCAGCGAGCGCTCGGGAAGGGTGAGCCTCCGTCTGGTGGCAAAACTAGCACCAAAAGGCGGTTCTTCCCCACGCAGTAAACACGGTCTTTTTTTATTCTCGTTTGCTTTTTTTCTAAGGAAATAAAAGTCTTAAAAGTATCTGGCACTAGAGTGTGAGACTACACAGCTGCATCGGTCACAACCCCCGGCGGCCGCCCTCAGATGTGGAGCTGGTGCGAGGCCAGCGTGTCCATGAAGGGGCGCACCAGGTTGTCGGTGGAGAAGTAGAAGATGAGGCCGAAGGCGATGGAGATGGGCAGGGCGGGCAGCGCCTTCTTGAACACGGCGAGCAGCAGGAGGGTCAGGCACAGGCCCTGCGGACACGGGGGGCGGGCAGTCAGATGGCCCGGCCTGGGTGCAGGGCCGGGACACCCACAGCCTCCCGGGTCCCCCCCGACAGCTGAGGGCCGAGGACAGTCCCCCCCTAACTCCCTGCACGTAGTGGGTGAACCCGAAAGCGGCTCCTGACTCGGCACGTCGCTGCCCGCCAGACCACCTGCCTGCTGCCTGCCCACAGCAGGGACACGCGACCTGAGGGCAGCGGCCGCCCCTCGGGACACACGTTTCTAGAACTGGATGGGCTCGACTGAATGCTGGCACCACGGGAATCAAAGACGGCGTGTGCCTCCTCCCTCGGTCCTGCCCGCCCCGTCCCCGCCTGGCAGATGCAGGAACGGTCAGGGTGGGGGTAGGGCCAGGTGCCTGCTGTGCCCTGGGAGGGGCAGGGCTTCAGGTCCCCCAGTGCAGAGGGGGCGGAGCCTGGGGTCCAGCACCCTCCCCGATACACCGGAGCCTGAACGTGCCACGGGTGCGGGGGTTCGCCCCTCAGAGCCTCTGCCCTGAGACGCAGTCATCAGAGTTCGTTTCCCCCAGACGTCCGTCCGGCCACCTTAAGTGACTACAGGAGCCTCCCAATTCCACTGCTGGGGCACAAAGTGATGGGGTCCCCTCCTGAACCGTGGGAGACCCTGGGTTCAGAACGGCATGGGGGGTGGGTGGCACGGAGGGAATGCGCCAGCCCTGGAGTCAGAGACTGAGCTCACCGGCGTGCGCCCAGGCAAGGCCCTCAACCTGTTTCCTCTGCCACGACCTCAGGTGTCCTGACCCCAGCGCACAGCTGCCCGTGCCACCCGGCCACCTGGCGTGCCTGCTCGGTGGCATCAGAGCCCCGGACCCCTCCCTGCACCTCCCTGCGTCTGTGGGCGCCCAGAGCCCGCGCACCTCGGTCTCACGCTGAGGATCTTGGAAACCCTGCCCGGCCCCATCACTTCTCCCTCCAGGGGCCACAGCACCGGAACATCCCCGGGGGCCCCAGGAAGACCTCGGAGCCCACTGCCCACTCACGATGAGGATGGCCACGAAGCAGGCCAGCGTGGTGTTCCAGTCCCCGCTGCCCGTGGCCGCCGCCTTGCCCACCAGCACGCTGTAGAAGATGAAGTCTCCGAGGCCCAGCTTCACGCCCCCTGTGGGCGAGACAGTCCATCATCCCAGGGGAGGCAGCAGCCGGACACCAGGGGCCCAGAGGAGAGCCCTGGGCGCTCAGGGGCCGGCGGGGTCGCTTCGCCACCGGCCCCGCTCACCTGGCCTCGGGGGCAAGGACTGGCCTCGGAAAACCGTAGCCAGCGGGACAAGGGGAAACCCAGGGGCTGGGCGACCTGCAATCCGGGCTGTGAAAAGCTGGCATGTCTGAGAACTCGGGCAAAACTGGTGCTTAAAAACCAAAAAATCCTGGTGCTTGGCACTTACTTAGAAAAAAGTCAAATAAAATGCATTGTCCAGGGTCGGTGGGAGGCCGTGCAACTCAGTGCTGAGTCTGAATCACAAGCGCCCTTTAGGGATTTAACTTCACTGCTTGTGAGAACATGCACCACTCCCAGCGGTCCTCTGCAGACCTTTCCCCTTAGAAATAGGGAACGTACTTGCAAGCAGCCCATCCCTTACTGAACAGCGAATGGGAGGTTCTGGGATGCTTTCGTGTTGTCTCTTTTATACAACTGCCCCTGGACACTGCATAGGGCAACGTTCTTCACCGCAGACAGTGAGAATCTATATCTATATATATAAAAGCCCAAATATGCTGCCGAAACCGGTTTGGCTCAGTGGGTGGAGCGTCGGCCTGCGGACTGGAGGGTCCCAGGTTCGATTCCGGTCGAGGGCATGTACCTGGGTTGCAGGCACATCCCCAGTAGGAGATGTGCAGGAGGCAGCTGATCGATGTTTCTCTCTCATCGATGTTTCTAACTCTCTCTCTCTCTCCCTTCCTCTCTGTAAAAAATCAATAAAATATATTAAAAAAAAAAAAAAAAGCCCAATATGCAAAGTGTCCCCTTGGGAGTTTGAATTTGACAACTGGGAGTTTGATCGCTCGCTCGCTATGACATGCACTGACCACCAGGGGGCGGCCTGGAATGAAGGGAGGCCCCAGCTGGCAGCCGACAGCCGCTAGGGACCCTACCCTAGTGCACTGGGCCTCTAGTGTTCCTATAATAAACCTGAGTCGGCCTGTATCAAGGGAACTGCTCGCCTCCTCTGCCCCTACGCCCTCCTCCCTACCATGCTCTCCCACGCCCTCCCCCCCCCCCACGCCCTCCTTCCCTCCAGACTCCAACCAGGTGGCCCTCCTCCCGGTCAAGGCAATGTCTGTCCTGATGTGGCTGAACCTGGGAGCTCAGGTTTCCTTCTCTGACCTCTGACACCTGGTCAAGAACCCCTGGTGCCCCCATCCCGTGTTCTCCTGCACAGACCCCTCCCCCGACTCAGTGTCTGTGATCAGGGCCCACGCTGTGCGAGGTGAGTCTCAGAGCCGGGGCCCTGCACAGTGCAGGCCGGCACACGGCTGGGGCTCGGTGACCGTGGTTCAATACAGGCTTCAGCCAGCATGTGCGAGGCCCGCGGCCTGCTGACAGGACCTCCCCCCACAGGTTCCTCCTGGACGCCTGCAAGGCCGTCTGTCTCCCTCACGCCCTCCGCCCTGGACATCAGGGCTCCCCATCTCCCCCCCGCCCGGGGCCCATGGACCATCTGGACACGGGCACCTTACTTTCCTCCTCTTCCTCCAGCTCCTCCCCCGGGGAGCCAGGCAGGGGGGGCTCAAGGACTTCCGGGTACGAGGGCTCCCCCAAACTGTCGCAGGAGTCTTCTTCTGGGTCCAGTAGGAGACGCCGGCATCCCCGCGGGGTGGGACAGGAAGGGAGAGACAGAAGCTGGTCAGAGGCTTCTCTGGAGCTCAGGGTCCCTGCCCGCCCCCTGGCCCGGCGCCAAGGAAAGACTCCCCAGGCCATGTAAGAGGAAGGAAGCTGAGGCAGAGGACGGAAGGCCACCCTCGCTTCGTCTTTCTAACGTCCAGGAAGGCTGGTCTTCCCTTC